CAAATGCATATAAACATGATGTTAACTGTGCTAACTCCAATTCCAAAACAGATGCAAATGCAGCAGATACAAAAGAATGAGATGCACCCGTCACCTCCACTATCACACACTCCCTTGTCTAGTGAAGTGTAGATACAGCTCATATGCTTGTCTAGAGAAGTGAAGATACAGCTCATATGCTTATCTTTGTGAAGTGTAGATACAGCTCATATGCTTGTCTAGAGAAGTGAAGATACAGCTCATATGCTTATCTTTGTGAAGTGTAGATATAGCTCATATGCTTGTCTAGTGAAGTGTAGATACAGCTCATATGCTTGTCTAGTGAAGTGTGGATACAGCTAATATGCTTATCTGTTGATGTGTAATATGCTTATCTGTTGTGGTATTGATATAGCTCATATGCTTATCTATTGACAAGTTTGTTTGATTTTATATAGCACTAAAATGTATATCATCATCGTTTGTGAAGTATGGAAGTAGTTTATGTGTTATTGATACAACACCAAAATGTGTATCCACCGTAAATTTTGAAAATGTTCTAGTGATGAACTATAATCTCATCAAAATGTTTTGACCAGAGTACTGAGCCCTGTTTTCAAACCCAAAGTTGAATAAGAAATGAAAAGGTGAATTGTAACATAGGCTTGGTTGTCATGGAATTGAAATAAGATGTAAATGGAAGTGTAAGTGTCGACCATCTATTAGTTGCTAATCTCTTAATCATCGTTCATAGTTGGTTTAGTAGATCTCTGCTGGGCTGTGGCTCACCCTATATGGGAACATCATTTTCAGGTACAGGTAGCATGTCACCTCTGAGGACATAGCTTAGGAGGCTAGGGGCAAACATACTTTTGTTGCCTTATTTTCCTTTTGATGTATTACCTGTAAACTCAAGCCAGGGGCTTAATGTGTAACCGAGTCAATACCCTCTTTTGTAACCAAGTGTTAACTTGGAAAGCTGTAAGCCCGTAGGGCATTTACTTTTGTTGTTAACGTGTAACACTTTTGTAATGAAGTACTCTGATGAATTGAGGAAATGTGGATCTTTTGTCTATAAATGTATGTTTATATTGATGGGTTTAATGTTATTATTTTGAGGGCGTGACATTATGCCACCTGTCCCTTTGACTAATGAAGGACTTTCACTTTGACTCTTCCATGTGTCATCATCTGATTGATACACCTGCCAACAGAAATTTCACAAAAATGGATGTAAACAATTATTTAAGTTAAATAAATAATAATGATTTTTAACTTAAACAAATCCATTTCTGGGCAAGATAAATAATGTACTTAATTCGAACAAATCCAAACACTGGGCCCACAATAAGCTATAAAAGCTTAAACCTTCCAACTTCACCTCACTTCAATCTTCTCTCTTTCTTTCGAAACTCCCATATCAGAACACCAAACAACTTAAAACTCTAAACAATGGCTCTTGAAATCAACGAAAGAAGATGAAACCAATGATGAACATCTTAGATTCCCCAAAACCAGTAGGGAAATTACCAGCTCTCTAATGCTAGACTTAACTTTGATTCCAAGTACCACCACCATAGCCAAAGCAACCCTAGGACCTACCTTTACAACCTATTTCCTAGATGAACTAACTCCATACTACCCACTTGCTAATGGCGAAACTCTACTTCTCAACCAACCAAAATTCAATTGGGTAAATTGGGACGACAACAAAAACCCTCTTAGATCATGGAGACAACTAGATTCTTCCTGGCAAAGTTGGGCCAAACGAATTGAAGCTTATGACTCAGATGTACGGAAACATCGAGGCATTAGTGAGGTAATTCATTTGTTGACCCTCAAATTTGATAGGAATAAGTGGTTAATTGTTGTTGCTGCCTGTTTCTGGTCACAATCTTGCAACTCAATGCTACTACAGTTTGGTATGATATCTCCAACCATCCTAGACATAGCCTATTTAATTGGACTCCCCATTCTAGGATTAGAAATCAGTGCTTTACTAGAACCCCCACCAGTAACTTTCACCCTTAACACGGACATGAGTTACACTGAGTTTATTAAAAAATACAAAGGCAAAAGAAACACCCCTGTCGATGACCAAGAAAGAGTTGCCTTTTACTTAGTTTGGCTCTGCTAATTCATTTTTTGTGTTCCTAGCTTCAAAATTACCAAGGAATACCTTCCATTGGCCTTATGCCCTCAAGATGGCCAAGCCATGGCTTTTGCTCCTTACTTACTTGGCACCCTCTATAAAGGCATGTTTTCTTTTGTGGAAAAAAAGATATCCTCCTTCTGTGGTAGACCAAAATTTCTTTGTAGAAGTGTAACTGGTGTCATAGTAATTGTAAAATTGACCAGCAAGGCAATTCAAGAGCAAAAGCTATAGTAAATAGTCTCAAATTGTAATTTAAAATATAAATATTCATTTATTATTATTAAATTTGAAAAATAACAAAAGTGCCATCATTATTTGAAGCTTACAAAAACTATGAAATTTCCTAGCATGTTTTGCAAATTCTCAAAACTATGTCCGATTTATATTTCATTAATAAAAAATTTCAATAACCAAATTTAAATGCCAAAATAATTATATTTTGAAAAGTTGGGGGTATTACAAAGGCAGTTATGGTGTAGGCAGTTATGCCTGTTGACATGTGTAGGATAAATGAGTGAAAAAGAGATAAAGAAAAGAATGGTGATGCAAGGAAGGTAATGGAATGAACACTCGAACACTTGAACAACCACAGATTAGACAAAAAAAAAAGAAAAAGATAGTCTCTCTTGTAATAATACTAATTCTTCAAAATAAAACTCATTTGCCCTGAGGCATACATGTCAATTTATGCTAGAGAATACCTAAAGAAAAAAAGGTAAACTAAATCCTAGGTTAATTACTTGCTAACCAAACCGAAATCAAATAAAATAAAATAAAAATTACCAAAAAAGGAAATATACTAGAAAAAATCAAGGCAAAATCATATTTGTATAGACCAAGTTATAGACGAATCAATTACTTCTAAAAATGAAAAATTGCGAAACTAAAGGCCTAAATTTTGGAATTCGCCCAAAATCCATTGTAGGCCATTCAAGACTGATGGGTCTTGATCGTCATGAAGTTTTTAGTGCCTTGAACAAATTTCATGCCATTTTGAGCACGTGTAATCTTGTGTCTACTAGTGCCTTTTACTTTTACCTTATTTACCAATAGACGCAAGGCAAATGTAAACAAGGCAAAGACAAAGGCCAAGAGTATATTTTAGGTACACATGATTTTGATCTTTATATTTTATATTTTATATTTTAAGCATTTTTTTTTCAAGATATGTACATAAGGGTAAATTTACTCATCTCCTTGAGGTTTGAAGAAAATACAATTAATAATCTTATATTTGTTATATAATTACACTGACCTCCTGTGGATACCACATATTTCGACGCACCCACATGTCGGATTAGACTATCTCAAAATTGAGTATGAACCATCAAGATCTATAATGACAACAAATCGTTTATCCCATAGTATCGTTGGCCCACAAGTTGCCAAAATAGATCGATTTGCATAAAAGAGCTGCCATCTATTTTTTATGGGAAGGTAGGAAACCATTTAACTCCATTTAATTTAGGATCTAATCCATTACAATCAAAGGACTTGGTTAGGGAGTTTAGTAGGTAAAAGAGGGGAAGTCATTAATGTAAGCACCTCTCTTATCCAATCAAGTTCCATTTTTATTTGTTTATTTCTCAATACTAATATCGTCTAAGATTTTTATCAGAACCGAGGGTTTACTTTCTAATTCTTTTGGGCCTTATCACAAGAAAGTTCTAGTTTGTTGTAAATGATTGAAATGTGCGCTTTTCAACCAATCATAAAAGCGCACATTTCAATCGTTTCTAATTTTTGCAGTTTTATTTTATGGGTCAGTATATGCTGTGTGATCTCCATCTCATCATTATCACTAAGGCATAAGTTTTTTTGCAGTTTCATCAACATAAAACAATGCCAGTCTGCCAGAGACAGCATAGTTATGACAACATGGAATATATTTTGGAACAACAATTTGTTACATCAACATTTGAAATGTTGACATACAATGGATTGGCTGCATAATGTGTCTAATGACTACAAATTAATTGGTTCAATAATTTGTATTAGTTCTCTGTTCAAATGCTGATTTTTTTTTTTCACTTTTTTTTTTTTGCCCTGGAGAGGACAACTTCCTGACTCAGTTGTGACTTTGAATACTATGTGATTTTTTTTCCAGCTTTGTAAAAATGCACTTTTCTATATTTTATCAGTGTTATGCAGGTAAAAAAATATTAGAAAGGATATGTAATCTACTAACTATTGTTGTTATTACCTTATTGTTCTCCAGCATTTGTTGTTGTGGAAACAAACTTTAGGATGTATTTCACTGTCTGTTTTATTGATTTGCTTTTATCTAATCATGATGAAAACTCTCATAAGTGATCAATGAATGAGATATATATATATATATATATCAAGAAAATTGAGAAGTCATTTCCGCAAACCACAATTGGAAAAACCTCCCCACTGCAAACTCTTCTTAAGCAAGACTTTTGATCATTTAAACTTACATGCCTTGCAAGGACAACTTTGTATCATGGTGTGTTTTGAACCTTTGTCCTTTTATGCTAGACTACATTTGATGGTTAGGAAGCCACCTAGTCTGGTCAAAAATCCTTGTGGGCAATCTGTTGTAGTTGGAGGGATTTAGGTTTAAGAAGCCACCTACCCTACTTGGAGTATTATTTAGATTTCAAATCCAATGCATATATTGAAAAAAGAGATGAAACTATTTTGAAATTGTTATACCATATAGTCTCGTAGATTTTTTTTTTTATTTCTTCAAATTTACATGTTGATCTGTTTAAACTCGTCATGAAGTGGGCAGTAGAGAAAGAACAAGAAGAAATCAAAAGGGGAAATTCATTTAACAGTAAAAGGTGGTTCTCTAATCTTTGATAAAATTCAAAACTCTTTTGGCAAACCCCAAAACATGAAATGGAAAAAAAAAAAAATGTTTGGGATGAAAGACTTTTCCTTTAAATATATTTATTTTACTAGATTATTGGATATTTTTAAAAAAATAAAAATAAAAATTTGAAGTCATTATATTATTTGAAGAGCTGATTTTTGGGAATTTTGTATAGTTGGGTCTCGGGGCGAGTTGCTTTGGATCTGAACTCTTTTCTAGATTTTGTAGGCACTCTTCATGGCTAAGTGTTTGGTTGGTTGTTTTGGTTCTTGTATTCTTTGACATTGTCTTGATGTTGTTCTAATAAAATTGTCTTATTTATCAAAAACAAAAAAATGAAGTCATTATCATTTGCCATTTACCAGCTTGGATTGCTCATTGTTCATATTCATTAAAATTTTATTCTTATATTTGCCATTCATTGATGAAGTGATCAATTTTCATGCTAAAAATACAAGGTAGAATATCAGCTTCCAAATCTTTTTGTAGTTGTAACTACAAAGGAAGCTTGTATGATGCTTTAAAAAATGCCATTATGGCCAAATAGGCAAGCATCAATGCCTATTTGTCTGCAACTCCATGCTATCTCTTGGGACCTTTTAAGAAAGAAAAATGCAAAAAAAAAACAAAAACCTTGGGTTGTTGTTAGTGTTAAAAAATGTATAAAATGTGTAAGAAGTATATGAAAATATGTAAAAATGTTTTGAGATATGTGAAAAATGTATTGAGTTTATAAATATTTTGGCCTTATGTGCTTCTTATTGACAACCCTGAGGGCTATCATTAGCAGGACCCTCGAAAAAACCATTTCATCTTTTACCTGATAGAGTAGCTTAATTTACACTAATAGTAAAAGGAATCATAAAGTTTGATCCTTTACTGGTGTTTTTATTTAAAAAAGCTTTTGCTTGGTTACTAATTTCATTTTATTTGTTATTAAGCAAATTCTCTTGACTTCTGGATGTTCTGTCATAGGAAACAAGTGTACATTGTGAATGCATAGGAATCTCTGGCCTGCAGCCTTGGGTGCTTTGAAAGCCAACGTTGGGGCATTGCTTGGTGTGGAGGTGAATGTTCAGGGTGCTGAGTGTGAGAACGAAGGTTCAAAATTGAGAGTAGCCACTGTTAAAACTGATGTATTATTGATTGATATATATGTTTACAATGAGTCCTATATATAGAAGATTAGAGGAGGTAGGTATGTAGTAGGTGGAGTAGGTGAAGTGGGTGGAGTAGGTGTAGTGGTAGGTTTTGGTAGGTTTTAACAGCCCCCCGCAAACTCAAGGGGGATAGGAACTAACCAACTTGAGTTTGGAGAGAGTACAAAACAAGAAAATAGACTAATACATAAAATAAAAGAGGATAGGAGACACTGTATGGTCGTGTCAGACCGTTGGTGAAGACACTGGATGGTTGTGTCATAACGTTGTAGAGGACACTGGATGGTTGTGTCATAACGTTGTAGAGGACACTGGATGGTTGTGGCAGACCGTTGTAGCAGATAAAGTCTGGACAGTTGACGAGGTCACACCGGACCGATGGAGAAGCTAACCGAATCAATGTCGGGACAGTTTATGGGGTCATGTCGGACCGTTGTAGATGCTAACCGGAATCAATGTCGGGACAGTTTATGTGGTCATGTCGGACCGTTGTAAAAGTCGCACCCTCAAAAGGTGTGCCCAATCTGTCAAAAGGCGTGCCATCAAAAGGCGTGCCCAATCCATAAAAAGGTGTGCCGGACATTATGGCGAGGCGCGTGACTACCTTGGCTTGCACGCCCGTTTTGTCGTCTGGCATCAAGTGGCACGCGATGCGCGTATCTGCCTTGGCTATTTAACCAAGACGGATGCTGAGGCTGAGGCAGAGGCTAAGACAAAAAACTGGCTAAAAACCTCTGAGAAACTCTTCGTTGTCTGGAGAGAGATACTCTGTAATACGCTGTAACACTCTGTTGTCCAGAAAATGGCCTCTTCTTCCCGTGGTCTGCTCACTCTCTTTCCAGACCTCAACGAGTCCACAAGAGAAATAACTGGTGCGGTGGCCCTTGAACCTCAACCAAGCGCTCCAGGGTTTGCTCCGTTGAACTTTCCTATACGGTCTGTGGAGCAAAAAATGGCGGTGCAAACTGATATTGAGGCCAATCAGTATACTTTGAAGTCATGTGTGGAGACCATGACGGTGGTCACAAACTTGTCGCACCGGCTGCAGAGTAGGACAAATGAGGTGCAGCAGTTAAACGCCCAACTGGCTCTGCTCCAACGCATGTATAAGGATGCGCGAGCAGAGATAAGTGTGCTGAAAGCGGAAAACAAGGAGCTGAAGCGGCACCGTGATGTTCCGATTTGGAGGTCCACCATATGCTGTAGTGGAAGAGCAGGAGGGAGTGAACGTGCTCGGTGGCGTGGGAAACACGGAGGCAGCACCGGCAAGGGCCGCCCAGGACGGAGGCAAGAAGAAAAGACCGTGCCAGCGAGTAGAGAAAAATCCACTGTGGGATTTGTTTTTTTTTTTTTTTTTTTTTTGTGGTGTAAAATGGTGATCGGGGTGAGCCCCGACATGAATAAAATGAGTTTGGTGTGCAGTTCGTCTTCTTCGTCTTTGTTGTTTTTTTTTTTTTGTTTTTTTTTTTTTGTGCAAAGAAATAAGAATGAAAAAAAGATTAAAAATAAAGGGAAAGAAAAATAAAAAAAAGAAAGAAATAATAAGAATATATGAGAAATCAAAAACGAGAGAGTGAGGGAAAAAGGAGATGGGTTCACGTGGGTTTCTTGGCCCACAGTTTTGTGAAAACCTGCAATGGGTTTGGTATTTTTGTTTTTTTTGTTTTTTGTATTATTATTAAATAATAATAATAATAATAGATGAATGGCGAAAGCATGTGCCCAGTGGGTGGGAAAGTGAAAAAATGAGAGAGAGAAAGTGGGGGACATGATGAGGAGGATGATAATGATAATAAAATGAATAAAAAAAAAATTAGTTTTGGGTAATGTGGTGGCTTGATTACTTGCATAAAAAAAAAAACTAGGTCCCCGAGTTGATAGAATGATGTATAGAGAGAGAGATGTTGCTTGAGCTCTCTAAGTCGAGGTAGTCTGGCGGGACGAGGGCACGGTGGGACCATACTTAGCCCGGAGGGCTCGGAGGATGGGTCGACGAAGATGGCGACGGAATGGCTGCCGACGAAGATGGCGGGACGAGACCCAAACTGGAGGGTGACGATGGGGCCGTACTTAGCCCGGAGGTCTCGGAGGAGAAGAAGAGGACTCAAACCCCAAATCACATATACATATCACCGGCTCTGTATACAACTCCAGCACCAGCTCCGATCCCCGACTCTTCCTTTCCCCGCTCGCCCTCTCCTTACGTCGTCAACCACAAGCGGCGCGGCAGAGACGCCGTCGCTCGTCATGCCGGCGGATTTGATGAGACTCCGCAGCTCAAGTCTCCACCAGATGGTGAGACCGATTCGAATTCGAATGGTGATGGTGTTGTTGTTGTTAAAGAACTCGTGGATGATGGTGTTTGTGGTATGGAGACTGGTGGTGAGGACAGAGATGGAGGTTCTATGGTGGCGGTGGTGGATGATTTCTTCGATCCTCGATGTGAGTCGGTGAGTGTTGGTAGCTTTGCTGGGGTTGATGATTTTGGGAAGCAAGGTGGGTGTCCGAGCTTTGTGTCTAATCAAGGCGAATTCTTTGATGCCAGTGAAGATTTCTCCACTGATGGATCTACTTCAATTTTTTTTCTTCTTATGGACCAAGAATTGAATTGGAGCTGCATGCCATAAGACTCAGTCTTCTCGAGGAGATTGAGAAACGAAAGGCTGCAGAATATGAAGCTGTTAATCGTGAAATGTCCCAGAGGAACCAGGAAGTAATGGAGGTTGCACGGAGGCAGCGACAAAGGAGAAAGACCCAGAGGCGGAGGTGGTTAAAAACTCCAGCGGGCAGCGAAGGCATGGTTGCCGGCCGGCTGCCCGCCGGAAAAAAAGGAATATAGGCCTAAATCTTATTGCTCTGATACCATGTAAGAATGGATGTATTATTGATTGATTGATATATTGATTGATGTATTACAAGATTGATTTATTACAATTCCTATACAATCTATATATAGAAGAAAATGTGGTAGTAGGTGTAGTGGAGGTGATAGTGGGTTAGGTGAAGTGGAGTGTGTGGTGAAGTGGAGATAGGTGAAGTGGAGTGTGTAGTGGAGTAGGTGAAGGTAAAGATGGGAAATTCTAACAAGCCTACCACTACACCTACTCCACCCACTTCACCTACTCCACCTACTACATACCTACCTCCTCTAATCTTCTATATATAGGACTCATTGTAAACATATATATCAATCAATAATACATCAGTTTTAACAGCCACTTTATAAAAATAATGCTGAAGGTTAGGCCTATCTGATTCTCCAGTCTTCTCCTAGGACCCTCAATTAAAAGGGACCAATGCTACTATTTTTAAAAAGCCATCCCGTCATGTTCATCCAAATATTCTATTGACAACTTTTGTTTTGTTTTCTTCTTTTGATAAATAATTCTCTTTTGTTTTTCTTTTGTGGGTGGTTTTTTGTTATTTATTTTTTTTGTTATGTATGTTTTTGTGTGTGTGTTTGGGGAAATGGAGGGGAGGCGGGAGGTGTTGATAATAAACAGTGTTTATCGAGTTATAATTAAGAGCGAAATATTGACCTGTCGGAATATGGATGATTTGGATGGTTATGTAGGACTATCTTTACCACTTAAATGTAATATGTGAATATTGTTGCTCGTATATATTGTATGTTCCACCAAATATACTTTCAGATTTTCTTAAGAATATAACTTGCTTCTTTGAAATTTCAACCATTGTATTTGCAGATAATTTCTTTTCTTCGGTAGAAAATGCAGATTCTCATGTTGCAGAGAGAATACCCTCCGTAAGAGAAAATGTTAAAATGTTACTAATCAGGTTTATATTTTTCTCAATGTTAAAAGATACATTTAAAAACCCAAATATTTCTACTACTATTTAGATTCAATACATGTCAACTCTCAATCAAAAGTGAATTTGGTTATACTGTTTTTGTGAATCATCAAGTTCTCGAATACATTTATCCTAAATGATACCATTTTCCAAGTGAATTTTATCTTAATCTGTTTGACAATGACTTGAAATGCAACTTTCTTTAACAGATTAAGTTGTGGGAATCGGATATGAAAGGTTGGGATGATACCAGCTCATCTTTATGATGAGTTCTGGGGTAAAAATCAAACTCATCTCACTATGCATTCGCAATGTACACTTGAAGAAATCATTTTATGTGTGTAATTTGCAAGAAGGGAATTGAACACCTGAAGAAATCATTTTATCTTTTACCTGATAAAGTAGCTAAGACTTTAGAGAAGTAGTTATTGAAATCACAAAGTTTGGTCCTTTACTTGTGTCTTTCTTTTTTTGTTTCTTCTAGTTGAATATAATATGCTTCGTTGAAATTTGAACCCTTGTATATGCAGATAATTTATTTTGCTTGAGCAGAACGCCCAATTTCTTTTCTTCAATGGAATGCATAGCCTCGTGTTGCAGACAGAATACCCTCTGTACCAGCAAATGTTACTAATCGGGTTTACATTTTTCTCAATGTTCAGATACATTTACAAACCTAAATATTAATGCTACTATTCAGATTTAATATTTAGTATATGTCAGCTCTCAATTGAAAGTGAAATTTGGTTGTGTTATTTTTGTCAATCACCAAATTTTTGAAGACATATATATCCTGTTTTTAAATGATAGCATTTACCGAGTAATTTTATATCTTAATCTGTTTGACAATTATTTGAAATGCAATTCTCTTTAACATATTAGGCTGTGAGAATTGGATATGATTTGCTAGCTCATCTTTTTGATGAATTCCCTCTCCACTACAATTGCATTTCGTGTATCTTACTTTCAATCTTTTATCAACTTATGGATTTGT